CTTCCAAATGTTGGCTACATATGACGTGTTTTTGCTTTGGCCAGAAGTTCGATGGCAAATCCTCCCTCTTCAAGTTGGCAATCCAACAACCACAGTAACTTCTACTACTTCTTTTTCGGAGGTGTCAAGTAACAAAGAACAAATACTTTGTTACTGTACTTAAGTACACTTTTTAGGTACCTATACTTTACTCCATTACTTATTTTTTTATCCTACTTCTGACTTCTACTCATTACATTTTCACACAAATATCTGTACTTTCTACAGTATTCCATACATTCTTAAAACAAACATTACTTGTTACTACTCGCATCTCAAAGAATTTTTCGAAAAATTGAGCTTTCAATTCATATAGTGGTATCTGGGTGGTTTTTTAAAGGCTACTTTATACTTTTATACTTTAAGTAGTTTTTGGAGCACATACTTTTTAACTTTTATTTGAGTAAAGAAGTCAAGTTAATACTTAAACTTTTACCAAAGAGTGTTTAAACTGCAGCATCTATACTTCTACTTAAGTAACAAATGTGTGCACTTTGGACACTACTGTTCTTTTTTCACTTTTACCCGACTTTTACCAACTGCCATGCACGTTGGTATTGTCAGTTTCACTATAGCTCTGGTGAATTTCAATGGTGAAGTCCTCTGGAAATGTTCAATAATAGTTGCTGATTGCAGATGTCTCTAGTAATTCCCATTGATTTTGCTTCTAAAGCGGGGAGAATGGTGCTAGGCTTACCGTACCGTGACGTCACTGCTGGAATAATCTCCCAGAAAAATACAAAAGGTGCTGAAATGCTCATTTGTTTCCAATCGAGAATAAAAACGCAATAGTTTAAAGACGCCTTTGGCTGTGATAATTATTCATTATTAGTTAAGTTTAAATCCAATTTTCAATCCAAATTTCAGTGATCATCATATCTTAATCATTTATTTATATTGACTTTATGACTTTGCACAGTTTCTATCTTAGTTAAATAATATGCAGCTGTCATTTTGCACATCTCTGATGTTGCTGCTATTTGCAAATATCCATTACTGCAAACATATCCATAGCTGTATATTGGTTATTTATTCTCCAGGTGCACAAACATTTTACAGTACAGTATTTTATTTGTTTATTTGTTAACTCTTTACTAGTATGTCTTTGTTATTTTTAAGGTCCACATTTGTGTGATCATTCTTTTTCTAGAATCTTTTTGCTGTAACACCAGAATTTCCCCATTGTGGGTCAATATAAGGATTTTCTATTCTATTCTATTTTATTCCATTCTATTCTATTGTTCATGTTAATTTATTTCATTGCAATGCTCTATTCTATTCTATTCTATTTTATTCTATTCTATTCTATTGTTCATGTTAATTTATTTCATTGCAATGCTCTATTCTATTCGATTCTATTCTATTGTTCATGTTAATTTATTCCGTTGCAATGCACTATAATATCCGCTGCTGGCTGACTCATAGTGAGTAAGTGAGCGTGTGTCTCACAGGTGTTTTGCTGAAACTCAGCCACAGGTAAACTACCCCCATCTGCGCCATGACGTCATTGGGATGGGCGAGTCACGTGATCGAGTCCGAGAGAAACCTGCGGTTTAATATTACTGAAATGGAAGGAAGAAGAAAAAGAAAGGAAGGAGGCAAAGCGAACAAGGTAAGCGGCCTCCACTCTGCTCTCCTGCTCCGTTGCGATGGTAAGGAGGTTATCTGTGAGCTCGGTGCGAACAGGGAGGATTTATTTTGACCGTTAAAGTTAAAAAGTCAGCTGTTAATGGCACGCGGCCACTTGGAGCGAACTTCACTCCTCCGCTGCCATTGTTACCAGATAAAAGCTGTTAAATTAGCCAAAGTCCAAATGTAGCGCGTATTACATCTGAAATTAGACATAAAACACGGAAAGAAGTTGATAAAGTTAAGGAAATGACTCCTGGAGGCACCAGCTGCTCTCCCTGAGGGTTATTGTTTTCTCAGGCCTCCTCCACTGCAAACACTGCTCTGATTATTCTGGAAACATGTTGGACTCTTTCTCTGCTTATTGGGATATACTGCTGTTTCCTTCAGACTATGAGACAGGAAATAAAAAGAGCTTAAAAGAAAAAATGGGTTAAAAAAAACAAAAGTCAGTGAAATATGTAAAGTAGCTCTACAAAATAAAAGTAAAAAAAGGTCCATGATAAAATATATAATTATTGGAATAAATGAAACATAAATATAATATAAAACATTATAGTATTAACATTTATGAAGTTAAATAAAAAGAGCTTAAAAGGAAAAAGGGGTTAAAAACAAAAGTCACTGAAATATGTAAAGTAGCTCTACAAAATAAAAGTAAAAAAAGTCCATAATAAAATAAGCCTTGCAATAAATGACACATAAATATGGTATAAAACATGTCTTAATATTTAAGAAATCAAATAAAAAGAGTTTGAAATGAAAAATGGGTTAAAACAAAACAAAACTCACTGAAATATATAAAGTAGCTTTACAAAATAAAAGTAAAAAGTCTATCATAGAATAAATAATTCTTGGTTTAAATTAAGCATAAATATGGTATAAAACATGTCTTAACATTTATGAAATGAATTAAAAAGAGCTTAAAATGAAAAAGGGGATAGAAAACAAAGGTCACTGAAATATGTAAAGTAGCATTAAAAGATAAAATACAAAAATTCCATAATAAAGTAAATAACTCTTGAAAAAAATGACAGATAAATATGGTATAAAACATGTCTTAATATTTATTAAATGAAATAAAAAAAGAGTTAAAAATGAAAAAGGGTTAAAAAACAAAGGTCACTGAAATATTTAAAGTAGCTTTACAAAATAAAAGTAAAAAAAAAAGTCCATAACAAAATAGATAATTCTTTAAATAAATGAAATATAAATATGGTATAAAAGATGTCTTTACATTTATTTAGTTGTGCTTACTAGTCATTTTTTAATTGCAGCATTTATTTATTCGTGTATTAATTTAATTTTGAATGAAATGGCTTTCCATATTAGACAACTTTGGTGTTTTGTATCATTCTGTCTAGAGATAAGTACACCATATTGCGGAGATTACAGCAGTCATCAGTCAAAATGAACAACTCTGACATGTATTATTGGCTTTTTAAAGATTTTTTATCATTGCATGAAAAACTGAATTTTGACGCAAGGCTGTACTGTTTTGAAAAATGTAAAGGGGAAATAGAAAATGCCCTTAAACATATTTTTAACAAACATGGATGTGTCAGAGTCAATTAGAATATCAAACTTGTATATCTTTTATTTACCCCTGCAAAGGTTTTACAAAAAAAAATCTGCAGCTGTGATGATCTAAACCAGGGATGCTGAAGTCCAGCCCTTAAGAGCTACTTTCCTGCAACTTTTTGATGCAACCTATTTTTAACACAATTAAATCAAATTAGTGGCTTGTTAAATTGACTCTGCTCAGCTAAAAGAGGGATTAAGCCTTAAGATTGAGGTGTGTTAAAAAGGGATTTGCATCTAAAAGTTAGCGGATGGAAGCTGTTGAGAACCCCTGCTCTAAGCTTTTTTTTTTTTCTGTTCCACAGGTAAAAATCTGTGTCGGTCACAATCAAAATTGGCAGATCAGCTATTTTAAACTAACACAGTAATTTTTCAACCTTTTCTAAAATATTTTTCATAAATTCTGTAATTATTTTGTAAGTTGCTGCTATTTGCAAATATCAGTTACTGTAAAAATGTCCATGTATATTGGTTATTTATTCTCCAGGCGCACAGTATTTATATTGTTAAAACACTTTACAGTGCAGTATTTTATTATTTCTATTTGATTTCTTCACTAGTGTGTGTGCATTTTTCTGAGGTCCAAAATTTTGTGTCCATTTTTTTTCTAGAATCTTTTTGCTGCTGTAAACACCAGAATTTCCCCATTGTGGGACAATAAGGGGATTTCCTATTCTATTCTATTCTATTCTATTCTATTCTATTCTATTTTATTCTATTCTATTTGTCCACTTATACTTAGTTGAATGTATGTCATTTGTCTCTCTTTTTTTTTTTAATGGTGATTATGGTTTAACCCCAGAGAAAACTCACTCCAGTTAAACATACGGTGTGTTGTATTTAGACCGCCAATAGTACAAAAATAAAATTAATGCAAATGTTACTTTGTTTTACCAAAAAATAAATCATGAGCAAAAACAAATCATTACAAAAGAAGCCAACTTTTAAAGTGCACTATCCAAGCAGATTGATTGATTGTTAAATGGAAGGAAAAAAGGGCTCCACTGCGGTTCTTCCAGCAGTCCACACTTTCTCTGCTCACTTTTTCTCATCATCTTCTCCTTCTTTCCCATCGCCCGGCTAACCACAGGTTTGCCTGCTGTGTCTAAAAGTAGCAGCAGCAGCAACCCAGACTGACAGCAGCTCATTGGATCATTTGTATCACGTGTAGCCTGGTCCTGGATGCTACAGAGGGTTTTACCGTATTAACAGAAGTGGCGCCAGTGAAGTTAGACACTGTCGTCGAAACTCATGCAGTATTGTTAGTCCGCTAATCCGTGACCTCTGGTCTACGTCTTCTACTGTGAATGCCTTGGCTACAGATATGGCACTACACCCCAAAAAGGCTCCATAACGCTATCTGATAGGGTGGTGGTGCAGATGGAGCCCAGTTTCTTAGACTTAGACAGATTTATTTTGTCATTTTGTATACCGTATTTTCACGACCATAAGGCGCACCGTACTAAAAGGCGCACTCTCAGTTATGTGTCCCATTTCTGTATTTA